TTCAGACTTTGTGTCGTGCATCAAGGCGATTAATTTGCAGTTGCAGTTGATGCTCGTGCTCTGGCCTCATCACCGCTGTTTAATTGAAAGTGGTGCTTGTTTGCTTTTCTCCAGAGAGGATTAAAACAACAACGAAAACCGTGTGGATTACTACTACAACAAAAGTTGAAAAACAAAATTCTGAAAACAAATCGACGACTACTGCCAGTTGTGATAACGGCACACTTTTCAGTCAACTGTTGCTGGACGGTGGTTTCCGCAAAGTTGGCCAAACAGTCAGTCAGTCAGTAGTGTTAGTAGTGCCTGTGCGTGTGTTTTATTGCGCATCCTCTTCTAAGTTGCTATAATTAAAGTCTCCGGTTGATTTGAGAAGCAAACTGCTGATTGTAAACACCGGCTGCAACTGAAGGTATGCAGAGATGTTGATGCTGATGATGATGATGGTGGAGGACGAGTCGGAAAAGTCAGTAAAGTGTTTCACTCAATTTGCCTCCATTTGGCTAATTTACTGAAGCTCACGACTTTTTCAGCACGGTATCAATCAATAGAAGTGGTAGCCAAATGACCAGTGTGCATCTTCAGGTGGAGATTTATTGTCACTACCTGCCAAGTAAGTTTGCATTAAAAATGAGTTTTTCAAAATGCAACATCGTTTTTTCTCAGCTCAAAAGCAACATGCGACAGCATCATTAACTTGCTTGTCAAGCTGATTTAGTACAAAACATGTTGTTTTTTAAAATTTTTTTAACGCAGTTGAAAAAGAATATATGAATTGTGAGTACCGGAATTCTGAACACAAAGTTGACTCTCAAAGTATATAAAAAATAAAAAAACCTTCACGACTGCCCATGTAGTAAGTTAGAGACTGAACGAGACGATGATTAGTGAGCTCGTTGACAACGTGTCAAAGTGACAGGATAATTGTGCGATTGTCTAATGTCCGTCTGTGTCTGTGCCCACAAACGGAACTGTTGATGCTGCTGTCGTCTGTCTGAAAGTCGCTCGACCGAGCTCAATTACGCGCAGTTTCTCTGACTGGTTACACACTTTCTCCCGCTGTTTCCATCCATCCTATTTCAACTTACAATGTTGACATGAGCACTGTCGTCATTATCATCAGAAAATGTTTTAGTGTTTTCAAAAAACAAAAAATGCAGTTGTGACCATTTNCGCAGTTTCTCTGACTGGTTACACACTTTCTCCCGCTGTTTCCATCCATCCTATTTCAACTTACAATGTTGACATGAGCACTGTCGTCATTATCATCAGAAAATGTTTTAGTGTTTTCAAAAAACAAAAAATGCAGTTGTGACCATTTTTTAGCAGACAAGTCGACAAATCACACACGAAAGATCAGCAGACTGCCTCAATTAACACAGGAACATAAACTGCAGCTTCTTTGATAAGGCAAGAGTATTTTAATTTGAATCAAGTTATAACATTGCAACAATGCAAACAACAACACAAGAGTAGTTAGTGAGATTCTAAATCGAGGTGAGTAGATTATGTGCGCTTGAGACTAAAAAGTCTCCTACTTTTTAGTAGCCCTTTGTTCCACCTGATGAGGCCTTAGCTGAGGATGCATAGCCACCGGCGGTCTTTCCAACCAGTCCTTTGCCAAGTCCGCTGCCTGAGGTTGCCTTTATTTCAATGGGGCTGCTGTTGCCTGATGAGGCCGATGAAGATGAACCAGATGAAGAACTGCCGCCACCGATTGAGATGCCACCGCCAATGGCGCCGCCAAGACCAAGGGAGCCACCGGCAGACATTCCGTAGCCTCCCGACTGACCACCACCACCATAACCAGATTGTCTCTGCTCCTGACCTGAAGAAAACCATTAAAATGAATCAAATTTACTTTCAAGTTTACAACGTACCTCTTGCGACGATAGTCATAATCTCTTCGATTACTGGGTGAATCTCCTGTTGATCAATTGATGATGATTAAGTTAGTAAAACTATTAAGATTATTGCTTGATCAAAAAACCACTTGCCTGAACGATTTTCCTTGAAGGAGTGATGATTTCGCGAACCTAAATTAGGAAAAAATTGATTAGTTTACCTGTTGTCGATTCGGCAGCAGTTCTCTTAATAATTACCTCTTGGATGACTGAAACAGAAAAGACAAAAAAGAACGATTACAATAAATGATAACTGGGTAAAAACTGAATCTTACTTGGCTTGGTCACTTGGTGCTTCAGGACATGAGGCTCATCCTCAGACTGCGACTCTTGATTGCTGCCTTGGGCACCATCGTGCACTTGCTGAATGTTCAGGTTGGATGAAGCACTACAAAAATCGTTTAAACTTATAATCTTGAAAACTTATTAAAACTTCAATACCTTCTAAAGAGAATATTGAGGGGAATTGATGATGCACCAACCTCAATGGTGGCTGAAATTTGATAAACAATTTAATGTTGTGATAAAACAAATAAAAACCAAATTACACTAAACCATACCTGGAAAAATTTCTCCAACAGAAGGAACCTCTCTGTAGGTTACTTCATGTTTTGATTGTATTGCGGCTATAAACTTGAATGTTATTAAATGCTTTTAAAAATAAGCATCAAGTAATAAATACCTGGGATGATCTCTCCACTGTAGCCACTTCCACCAGATGAATAACCTCCACCACCACCTCCTCCTCCTCTTGATGAATATCCACCGCCACTGCTTGATGACCTTCCACCACCACCACCACCACCTCCACTGCCATAACCGCCAGCACTGGAGACGGCAACAAGCGCTGAGATGACAATAACCTGTCGAAGAGTAGAGATGATTAGAGGGCAGTTGCAGTGGTAATGGTAGTCCATCAACAGAAACCCACAATAGACAAAGCACAACAAAGCCGCATTTGCACTGCACACTTTACACTTACTTTAAACATCATTTTGTTGGCTGAACAATCAATTTGGACAAAAACGATTTAAGAGCAATTAATGATCACAATTACTAAACTGATGCTTCACTGAAGCTGCATGGACAATACTGATAGAGTCTCCTTTGCCTACATTTGAGCTTTATATATACCCGTTGCTGCTCACCGTCAGTGGCGATTAGCAGGACTCGGGAAAGTAATAGTAGAAGTAGTAGTAGTAGTCAGTTCACTGATAGTGCACACAAACTCACCTGGCATCGACTAATGGGCAATTGAAAGAGTGGGAAATTAGTCAGTCGGACTTACTGACTGACCGACTGGCTGACTTCACGGTAATAGCAACGATAGAGGATGAAGATAGCCGCAGCAGACAATATGCGAACGGCTGAAAAAAGTGCAGAAAAAGAAGCGCAGGATGGGGAGAGATAAAGGTGAGGTGGAAAAACCATGCACAAAAACGACGGTGTGTGTGTGTGTGTGACTGACTCAATTCAACAGGTGGTAAGGAAAGTGAGTGAGAGAGAGAGAAAGTCAATGGACGAGGCGGGTTGAAACGGAAGGAGAGGGGGAGAAAGTGAAGAAGGGCAACTCTAAAGCAGAACAGGGTGACCGACTTGTGAGTGGCCACTGGCCATCACCTCATTGATTACCGAGTCACCGAGATTTACCGTGTGAACTACTGTTGCCTACTACTACTACTACTACTGCCCCAACAACCCGACGCAACACTTCATTAACTTGTCGCCTATTGATTAAATAAACTTGTTTTAATTAACACGATAACAACAGGGAATTGTTTTTGTTCCCGTAATGCCTACTACATTTTTGGTGTATTTACAGGTAAGGAAGTGCGCACTATGCACACACACACGCGAGCCGGTGCCGCAGGTGTGCGCTAAGCACTTTCACTGTGTGGCTACTCTTTTTAGGCAGGGAAAAAATCAATGTAAGATCGATTGATGCTGTTAGGAGCTGTAGCGGCAGCAGCAGCAGCAGCTCGACACCAAAATTAACCGTGCACAATTAGCAATCAGGCTTTTCTGACTGGCAGGCTGGAGCTAGTGCAGAGTGCTATCCCGAGCGCACCTCACTTCAATTCCGCATCGAGGTAATGGGCTTCATCTTCGTCTCACAGCATTGTTTTTGTGCTGTTCCTCGCTTGCCTGTTTGCCTGCTTTCTTCCTTCTTTGCTTCCTTTGAAATCTACTTGGCTGAGTTGTCTTTGCGTGTTGGCAATTATCGCCGTAAAAAGCAGTCAGACAGAAGTGTGTCTGTGATGCGTCTACTTTCGGACAAACTGTTTTAGTTTTTTGGACACATTAGCACCACCGACTGGACATTTTAACTGAAAAAACAATTTTAATTATTTATTTTTATTTTTTTAATTAGTCAGTTTTAATTTTAAAAACATTAATTGTAAATTTTTTTGCACGTACTTTTGATTTGAATTTCGTGAATACGAAAACCGTTTCCAACAGCACTTACAACAAAAAACAGCAGCCACAGTACAAATAAGTGAGCACTTTTTGTGCTTTTAATCTATTAATAAGTAGTGCTGCTGAGTGATGCTGATCATCACCGCCACTGAAGGCACTGGTGTTCACATAAATCAACAACTCTCTTTATCTCTCTTTTTTCTTTTTTCAACGACTAGTGTTGCTCATGTCGTGTTTGTCTTCTTATTTCCAGTGTGTTCCATTAATTAGTACATTAATTGCTCAACACAAGACAGACGTTGTTGCCATTCAATTCCATTTCCGAGTCTAGTGATGAGCACTCTCACACTCTCCTTTTTCATTAACTCACTGTCATGCCACTTTCTAAAAATACACAGTTTTAACTTTAAAGTTCATTTTTCATTTTGAAACGATGTGACGATAATAGAAACAGAAAAATACTTGGCTTTACTTTTAAACCACAAACTGTTGATAGCTGCAACAACTTCTGCAGGTCATGCATTATCTACCTTTTGATTTACCTTCACTTTTCATCTTTGTTTACATTGGCAAAAAGTTTCTATCATATGTTTGGTAATGATTTTATATGATGCGTTATTGTATATTATCTAAAGATCATTAAAAGCATTGTCAAATCTATGCTGATTTCATTTATCATTTATTTTCAAATAAAAGCTGTTTATGTTAACCATTGCCCTAAGTTTATCATTAAGTTTTTTTTAAATTTGATTGTTTTACACAATCAAAATGCCAAATTAATTCATTGGTTTTTACTAGTACTTGTTTTAGTGATTGGAACGTAAATTACAAGTCAAGTGAAAACTGCTTTTTATTTAAGTTGATTATCAGCATTTATTTCCATTTTAGTTTTTCTTGACGATGAGTCCTTTATTGCGCTCAACCTCTTGATGGTTTTTGCCAAAGGTAATGGCTGCTAATCTTCAGATTTTAGAGGATTTGGTCAGTCAATCGTCTTGTGGTTTAACCGTGTTTACGCCAAAATCTTTTCAAACGTGTTTGTCCTAATTAGTCATGTGTGTTAAATTGAATTACGTACACATAAATTCGTTTAAACTTTTTATTGTTTTATTTGGGTTAAATACGACAACAGGTATTAAATTTTAAAACTTACTTTTTTAATTTGAATGCTATTTGTTTCCTCATTTTAACTTTAATGTTTTTTAAAAACAAAGATTTTAAATAAATGACAATTTTAAATTAATTGCAAAAGTTGTTCGAAAAAAAAGGAAATTGTCAGAAGAATAATTAGATTCACTACCTGATGAGTGAAGAAGAAATGGTTATATTTAATTTGCCTTATACTTGAGTAAAAGGAAAAAGTCTTCAATCATCTTACACAGCAGTAGTTTTGTTATTTTATTTGTAAAGGAAGCAATCGTTGTCGTTGCAGTCAAATGAAAGGGGCAAAGCCAGCATTACTACCTAAACTAGCAAGGCGATAATCGCAATTGATCGGCGCAATTGAGCTTCGGAGATGCAAATATTACATAATCTCTTCAATTGACCAGCACTAGATCTAATTCATTCACCCACTTTCTACTACTACTCTCGATGGTCAATCAAAAGTCTGCACTAACAACAGAAAATGTCTTGAGTGCAATGAGATCAGATGAGCTGCTGGAACTTGGGATGCAGTTGCCTGACGGGCTCACACACACACACACAGAGACTGGTTGATGCTTCAATGCCGTGAGTGGTAGCCATGAACAATCACAATCATCGTCGTCGTTCCGTCACATGGACACACACATACACACAGTCAGACAAACAGTAAGACAGTTTCAGTCAAATGTCCTAAGTGCACTATTTTGCCCTTTGAATATCGTCCGAATTGACTAAGCTGACTGAATTTCCTGACTCAAAGGCCAAGTGTCACGAGGATGCTCGTTGTCAAATGACTGACAAAAAAACTGTCTTGCTTTTTAATGGTGGTGTCTGACATTGTCGGCGGAAACTGAAAAAATCGGATTGACCTGAAGATGAGGACGAGGAGGAGGAAGATGACGCCCAAACAGACTTTGTTTGACGGACTTTTGATTAGCTTCTAAAGTTGGGCTGTCAAAAGTAACTGCAACAGCAGCAGTGGCAATACTTCAGTGCTGTCCAGTGGCAGTGAACACAGACAGAGAAACAGCTCATATTTCACAAAATGAGATATGACATGTGCTCACGTGGTACAGTCCTCTTGAGAAGGAGAAAAAGAATAAAAAGTGGCAGATACTTTGGACTTCACTACGGCTGATACATTGGATGATGATGATTACGGTGATGATCATTTGCATAACCATTTAATTATTCATTTACTTAGCATACGGCAGCTACTCACTGACTTCCGTACGAGTAGTTTGTCGACAATTGAGTGTAAATGGAGATCATAATAAGTAGATTAAGTTCATCGGCAGATAATAAGTTTGATAGGCTCATTGTAAAAAAATGAAAGTGCAAATGCCGTTCAAAAGAAGAAACGTCTGACAGTAGTTGCTCAACACTAATAGGAAAATTATGAATATTCTTTTGCAGTAATATCAAAGTCAAAACTGAAAATGTGAAAAAGTAATTTACAAACAACTTTGTAAAGTAAACAACACTTGATTTTGAAATTTCTTATAGTCTTCGTTTTTCTGTAATTTTACTCAATCTCCTACATGGCACTTCAAGTGCTTCTCTCAATGCAACTTGAAGATTACTTTTACGATTGCACTCTCCATCGCCATCTGTTGTTGCTGAACCCAAGTTACGATTAAATTTTTATTTGAACTGAAGTTTCTTTTCACGTCGTTCACTGCTACGATCAATGCTACGACTGCTTCTTATTAGGGGCTCCTGGTCCCTTGTAGTTGTACTGCGAGACAGAGGCCACCTTGAGCTGCTTTTTGATGAGGGCGTAGTAACCGGTGCCTGTCGACTTGTTGGACTTTGCACTGGACA